ATATATTTTATTATTTATTCCTGGAAACACATAATTTCAAAAATATCACACACTATTTATCATTTTGTAAATACGTATAATAATTTCTTCTGTACTGAAAATCACTATTCCAGAGTGCTAGACACTTACCGGCATTTCTCTTTATTCTGTTATTTACTTGTTTTCACTAATTTTGCTTTGATTTTATCTATTTTTATTTTATTTATTTTATTGACATTTATGACAACCTAATGTTTTTTATCCGTTGCCATGGCTACCCATGACACGGATACTCTCTCCATCTACGTCTATGACTATTCAACCTCCACAGACCACCTACTTTGATTCTTTTTGGCTCGATTCGAACCGTGTCTAAATTCAAATGGTTCCGGATCTATAAAAGGCCGAGCCTCCCTGATCATTCATTCAATTCTACGGCAAAAGTTGCCTACTCAACTTTTGAAAGCTCGCTACCGAGCTCTAAATTAATAAAAGGCCTTGTCCCGGGGCCGACTGCCCCGGGACTCAAGAAAGACCTCAAAGCTTTTTAGCACCTATTGGCTCTTTAAACAACTTCCTAACTTTAATACTATACTACTCTTCACGTACTCGCAACCTCATCGGTGGGACTGCGCCTGGACTCCAGCTTCTTCGGCCAGCCTCCAAATGCTTCAGCCCGCCTTCTACCGACTCCTGCCGTTTCATCAACGCCTGCCTCTGGCCGATATACGCCGGCCAAACTACCAGCAGCGCCGCCAGCCACCACCAGGGCAGGCCAAGAACTAAGACGGCTGCACAGGAGCGCTTCTGCCTCCAAGGAGCGCCGTCCATCTGCCTGTAGCACGACCTACCTTTCAAGCCGCCCCTGAAGATCGCCGACGACCCACGCCCACTTCACCACGCCCACTTCACACCCCACACTACACACACATACCATACCCCTATTCTTTTTTTTAACCTGTAAATTCGTCTTATTCTTGTAAATATATATATTTTATAACCTCTACCTGTTTTCTTTCTTTTTATTTTGTCGCCACACGACAGAGTCCCGTCTGCTGCCTGGTCCGCGTGGAATTTTTTCTAGTTATATTTTCTTTAGATTTAAACATCAAGCAGTTACATGCTTTAAAAATAATAAAATTTATAACTACACATTTGTGTTCTTTATATAAGCATTGAAGGCATTTTTTTTTTATCTTTATAACACAGAATATACGCAATATTGTTATATTGAGTGCACATGCAGAGTGTTTGAATGTCCGATTGTGACTAAAGCGAATTGTGGTCATGCAACACAATAATTAATAAAATTTTCGTGTATTTGTTAATTTGACATGCTTAAAAAAGTTTCTCACGCTAAGCAGCCTTAATTAAAAATACTCTAGCTGTTATATAGGTTTAATTTAAACAAAAATCGAAAACGAACAGGTAACGCTTTTCATTTTGTCAATTGGAGGTCAAATTCAAGTTTTCGTGCGAAAGTTTTGTAAATTAGAGTAGGCTTGGTGAATTTAATTGTCATACTATTTTCGGACGAACGAATTTTCTAAATGAATAAGAAACAGAGGGAGGAACGTGCGAAATTTCGATCGTCATTTAGTTTTTCGTTGAAATAAGCTAGCCTAAGCCTGAGTGAAATTAGGAGGTTATCTGATCTGGTTTCACTGAGTGAAATTATAATAAATGAAATAAATGGAGTCCCAATTTTATTGCCATTCTAAAAAGGGCACTTTCAACTTCGCCTATTAATGTTTTTAACTTTCCGTAAGATATTTATAACTTGGTGATTCGTTATAATTTCTTCACATGGACAAAAATAAAAGTTACCCATGTTTGAAGTAGGTAAGTACTGACGCACCTTAGCTTAACGGAAAAATATCCATTAGAGATGAAAGTCCATTAGAATTAAGTATTTAAAGTACTGAACTCGATAATTACCTAGCTTTTAAAAAAATCACTTATCCAATTTGAGACTTTTCTAAAGACCTCTTGGGATTTTCTAATAAGGAAAAATAAAGTGGTTTTTATACTTATTCGTAAGTACTATGTAAATTTTTTTCTTCACGTCCATCTTCTATAAGTACCAGATTGGACAGAGATGGATGGAATTGGTTAGATGTTTATGTTAAAGGGCAAACTAGCATATGACTTTATTTTTAAGTAGTGGTCCGCTATCTCTTCGATTGGGTGTTGAGCTGTAGTGTAGACTATAGTTTATGTTTAAAGGCTTATATTATTTACTAGTGGTCCGCCCTCGCTTCGCTTCGGGGTAGAATTGATCAAAATCCTTTCTTAGCGGATGCCTACGTCATAACATCTACCTGTATGCCAAATTTCAGCCCGATCCGTCCAGTGGTTTGGGCTGTGCGTTGATAGATCACTATGTCAGTCAGTCACCTTTGAGTTTTATATATATAGGTTTAATTAATTTTTGGGAGACCAACAGCTCATAAAAACCGACATAGTTGAAGAAAAAAAATAGTTACAGAAGACCAATTAAAGATCTCGTTTAAAAAACAGAAATCTTTATACTCTAACATATAAAAATATTTAAAAATTAAAAACGTGTGGACAAAATAATATGATTGATCTATATAGTCAAGACGATTCGCCCTCTTCACAATGTTAAGCCATAAATAATTAACAATTTTAAACTAATAATAATTAACAATGTTAAATAATTAATATAAGAACAAATATTAATAGCAAATTAATGTAAGTTCTAAATTGTTATTGTATAGATACTGGTGTCAATTCTGACATGATTATCTAAACCTAAACTTAAATTTGACAACAGTGTATCCTTGTCATTCTCTATACAGAATAAAAAGGAGAGTCTTATGTTACATTTAGTTTTAAGTTTAGATAATCATGCAAGAATTGACACACAAATAACATCACTCGTTCAAAAAATTCACTGCAGAGACGAACGCCTTGCAGTTGCTACACTAGAATAGAATATTATATCAAAGTATTTTCTAGGCTTGCAAAATTCGTTCAGTGCAATGCTCAATTATAACTTTCTTCATAATAATTATAAACCTTCCATCGTTGTATCGAATGCACCATTGCTATGCTGTTCCGATTTGAAATCACTATAACCCTTTTCTTCAAATTAACGCGGGTGAAACCGCATGGAACCTCTAGCTGTGACTTAACTGCGATAGTTAGACATATGGTACCGGGGACTTATTTGTAGATATTGATGTCCTCTATAAAACTTTACTACATCACTTTGCTCTATTTTCAATAATAATGAAAGATAATGAAGGATTGTAAATGTGAAAGATTTTTTCGAAACGGTCCAGTAGTTTCGGAGCCTATTCCATACGAACAAACAATCAAATCTTTCCTCTTTATGATATTGGTATAGATGTCTGGGAAATGACCTTCAGCATTCTTCAGCTACCGGGGGAGCAAGAAGAAATCTGGGACTCCTCTCTGCTTATTTCATCCGGTCCTGCGGCTCGATGAAATGGTCCTGATGATTGTCTGGAGAGATGCTCCTATTAGAGTCCGCCAAGCTGTCCGCTTTTTCTGAGGCTCAGGGCCAAGGACCAATAATATTCTATCTCCCGCCTATCCCTTACTCCTTAATGGTGAAGCATCCCTCAATCCCGAAGTCCGGCAAGTTTAAAAAAAACTGCTTAGACCTCAAGATCACTTTAGCATAGGTTAGGCTACAATCTAGAGCCTCTGGCTTGACTACCCTTCACTCTGGACCTGAAGCCTCCTCTCACCGGCCATCCATTACCAACGCCCACCGATTTCTTCAATACCGAACACTGGGAGTTTTATTCACCGAAGCTACAGTCTACTATCGCCATCAAGATTCCTGCGTGTAATTTCCTCCACCCCCAAGTACGAGTCGGTAACTGCCAGCTACTGCTACAGCCCGGCGTGCCGTACAACCGTACTTACCGTACCGGAGTAGCAGTGGTCCTGTCACCGGTTGTTGGAGAAACTCCCTCCAGAGTATTTTTTAGAGGTTTTATTACTCGCAGGCCCCATCCTCCGGAGAATATGGCGGCCCTCAGCCCTGCACCGATAACCCGATTATGAGTTTGTCGGATATACGACACCTCCGTATCAGCACCCTAAGTTCAGCTTCCCGAATCCATTTCCGTTCCTCTACCATGACTGATAAGGGATAAGAAATGGACCGGCCACACGAGGGGAGTTCCAAAGTAGCACCTCAACAAGCTGCCATAAGCTTGCGACACCAAAAATGTTACTTACTAATAACGGTTGCCTACTCTGAGCCAATCCCCTACCGCGGAGCTCTGGAACCTTTATTTACCAACTGAAATACTAATAAAAGGAAGTGTTATTTTACTGTGGTCTTTTTTGGGTTCCGTACCTCAAAAGAAAAAAATAAGGAACGATTAAAAGATCACTTTGTTGTCCGTCTGTCCGTCTGTCTGTCAAGACCATTTACTTCGAGAGCGCGTTGAGGTATGAGTTGAAATTTGAACTTTATACTTAAATCTGCGATCGTTTGTAGCTGTGAAAAAAACAAACTTCTGAGTTATCGTACAAAAAGATACGGTCGATCATGTTGCGAACCCTCGGTGGAGGAGCCCGACTCACACTTGTCCAGTTTTTTTTATATAAGTATTGCAAAATAAATGAAGTTAGCGCATTCAGTTTGTGATCGTGGCAATTAAGCAACTTTTGAAATGGCCACTCAGAGGATGGGTGACCAAAAGAAATTACTTATACACCGACCTCCTTGGTGCTTCGGAAGGCGTTAAGCTGTTGGTCCCGGCTGCAGGCATAAGCAGCCGTAACCAATCCGGATTGGCTCAGATGATGGGTTTACTTCATGACCTCTTTTCTGTGTATTAAATATAAAAAACATTCAAAAATACAAATCGTTCCTATTGAGAATATTTTTAAAGATTTATTTGTTTGAAATGAATTTTTCAGATTGTATATTTAATTTTGGCTGTATGTTAAATGATTCCTTTGCTCTCAATTCAACGAGGGTTGGTTGTCAATGTCAGATTGTCAGTGTTATGTTATTGTTATTTTGTCAAAGCAAAATCATAAAAATATAGCTAAAAAGTTTATAAAACATGTAAATTAAAATGGTTTAAAACAATAAACAAGCCCTCACCGAACAAACCTAGACAAGAAATTTTGGACAAACACCAGATATTGGCCAAATCCTGAGGGAGCCATCACTGAAGAAATCTAATCTAATCTAAATTAAAATGTCTACATATCAAGAAATTTATAAAAACTTGTGCCGTATATGTTTATGTTACGGAAAAAGTGAAGAAATGGTTAGTTTGACTGAGAACAACGACAAAGGAGGACTTAGTTGTTATGGGAAAGCAGTCCTAAGTTTTGCTGAAATTTCTATTAAAACAAACAATAATTTACCCTGCTCAATGTGTAAAAAATGTTTAATGTTGTTGAAGCAAGCAATTTATTTTAAATTCAGGTGCGAATTTAGCGAGAAACAGTTGAAAAGTTGCCTTGAAACATACCAAAGCACTAAAGATATTGGCTTCAACATTGAGGAAATTGTTATAGATAATATTATATTTACAAAATATTTTCCCGAAGAATGTTCTGGTCTAACTAATACTCTTAGTTGTGACAAATCAAATGTGGATTTCACAAGAGAAAGTGATTATGAATCTGAGAGGAACGGATCGGTATTTTCTTCTGATCATGACAATGAAAAACACCTGCAAGATTCTGATGCAGATAGTTCAGATGAGATACTAAATTTAATGGAAGAAAACATTGGCCAGTGCGGGAATATAAGAAGTACCAATTATAAAAATTATATGCAGCACAAACTGGCTCTCAGAAAGAGAAGGCAAGCGAAAATACTGGCCATTCATATAAAAAACCAACAAATTCACAATGCAATAAGAATGAAGCGATTAAAAATGAAGATTTTAACAAGGAGTGCCATGGACAAAGCGAAGCTATTTTGTGAAATGTGCAATAGACAATTTGCGAATCATAACACTTATCGATACCATATGCAGCGGCACAATGGTTATAGCTACATATGCGAGCACTGCGGCAAAGGGTTTCCGGTGCTGGCCGAGCTAAACTTACATCAAGTAGCTCGACATGGTACAGGGCCCTATATACAATGTAAACACTGCAACTTTAAGGCGTCTAGAAAACATGATTTAGTTGAGCATGAACGCTTGCACACAGGTGAAAGGCCATATACTTGTGACAAGTGCGGTTTAACCTTCCGGAGAAGAGCAATATGGAGAAAACACATGATTTACCATACAGAGAAAACTGTACAATGTCCGCAATGCCCCAAGAAATTCTTTAGGCACAGTGAAATGCTTGCTCATATGAATGGAATGCATGAAAGACTGTATTTATATTCATGTCACAAGTGTGATACGACATATGCAAAAACGGCATCAGTCAGAAGACATTTGACAGAAAAACACGGTATACCAAGGGAAGAACAGGGTAGAATTATAAGAATTAACAAAAGAAGATATGAAATTAAAAAATACTAAAATAAGAAAATAATGCTTTTTAATATGTTGTTTTATTCATTGAAAGTGTAGCTTCTGATTCTTTTTTCAGTGACATCATGAGATATCAGTTGTAAAAATATTTTTTATCCTCAAAGATACCATGCTTTTTTATAATATGTAAATTATTGTTTTCATAAATTTTGTTCAACAAAATAATATCCCTTACTTAATCATTGAAAAATGCTTACTAATAACAAAATAGTGACAATTGGATTAATACAATGTAGTTTTTTTTTTAATATAGAATATTTCAAATATAATTATTGGATAAAGTTATTTTCTGCCAATTATTATCAAAGGGAATTATTTATATGAATTTCAGAAAAGTAATAAATGGTTAACTAAAAAATACAATTGGTAACCTGGAGGTATGAATAATATGTATATCATTGGTTAGTTAATTTTTTGAACAACAATTACTTTTATTTTGATGAACATCTAAATATTTGCCATTATCAAATGGTAGGTTTAGAGACTCATAAATATATTCGGTATTCCTGTTTTGTCTAAATTATACTTTTTGAAAATATTGCATTTTTTAAATTGGTTTAAAAAACAAAATTAATTCAAATATTAGGTAGGTACAGCTGGATGTAGTTACTGTTTTTTAATGTAAGTAATTTATTTATTAAAAAAAATATTTACCAGTTGGTTATTAAAATGGTACAGAAGGCGGACTTGATGCTAAAAGCATTCTCAACCAGTCACTGAATCCCTTTTTAAATTGGCAAAATATGCCCTTGACTTTATTTGGTACTTGATTGATTTTAAATAAAAGATTAACTTATAAGACAACAATTTCATTATCATACCTACTTGTTTAGGGAATGATTTGAAGACTGAAGATTTTAATTTTGGTAATGAATTTAAAACTATAATAGTTACTTCACTTGCATATTCGTTTATATTTGTTATTAATTGTGAACCTAACAATAGTCTATCCTTATCATGCTTCAGGTTTACAACTTGATTACAAGTGCCTTGCGAATATGAAATATATACTTGTGGCTACAACTTTATAAGGCCCACTTGCACGTAAATCTTGAGATATCAAAATAACTTCGAGTTTACTAACTCAAAGTTAATATAACATTTTCTTAACTCAGACTTTATCTTGCACGAACAGAAAATAATCAAGGGTTTACTAACCCAACAAAAAGAGAGAATGATGAATGACATAAGTATTGTTCTCCCTTTCACACAACAGTATCTTGCATATATCTCTTTCGTAATGTCCAATTTGAAAAGACGCGGTGTTTTTGTGCGTTTAAGTTGAATGGCGTCCTGTATTTTGTCTGTCAAATAGTTGTTTGTATACCGATTGCATGGTGTTTTTAAAGTACCTATCTGTCTCGTAAGTTTGTATTTTGTGACAACAATTTCGTGCGGTTATATTTTGTAAAATGAAGAAGAAATCTCGTTTACGTGCCCCCGAATTTTACAAGTAGTGACAGTTTACTGCTATGCGATATTTTATTCAAATATATAAATATTCATCAGAAAACAAAAAGTCATCCATCATTCAGAAATAAATAAAATAAAATGTTATCTCTATAAAAACAAACAACACAGCCTATAATAACAATTTTGACGTTTTAAATCTCGAGTTAGCAATTTAACCCTCCAACTTTGGCGGGTTAATTATTTTATTATTTAACCTAAGCTTTAGTGTTAACTCAGGGCAGTGCAAGAAAAAATATTTTTTTAACCCCAGTTCAATAGTTAACTCGGAGGTAAATAAACTAACCCTGGAACGTGCAAGTGGGCCTAAAGTGCCGGCATTAGGTTCAGTTTATTTGTGATAGTGTGAAGATTTCTGTCTTTTTTGAGTGTGTATGCTGTTGGTCTCAGGTGACCTTTACAGCGTCACCGGGTTTGAGGACGGCGAGATCCTAAGGGGACCTCAAGCCGAGAATTGGCGAGTGCTTCTGGAGGTATTCCAGGCGGATGACGTCTCCCCACGGGGGGAGTCTCCTCTCCGTCTGGAGCCTCCAGACCACTCGAACCTGAGGGGGTCGGATCAATTAGAGGGCGTCTCTGAGACTCGGACCTCGGCTCTAGTTAGCCGTTGTCGGCTACATCTAAGTCTTGTAAAGCTAGATTCTCAGATTATAGACATGTAGTTAGGGTTGCCACCTTTTTTAAGTCCAAATAAAGTACATTGGATATGAAAGGTAGAAAAAAAAGTACATTGTGTCCAAAATAAAGTACATTTTAATCCACTTTATTAGTAAGCTTAAAATATATTTTACGGTGCTTATAGCAATATTTAATAAATAATTTGTGGCTACTAAAATCTGTAGTTCTTATCCGCAATGGGAAAGACCATTGTACAAAGCCATACAGCCGCGACAATGTTGCAGGAATGGGCTAAGGGCGACATATTATACATACTGTTGTTCCGTTTTACGCAAAAAATCTTCCTATCCTCTTTATTTATATTATATGTAAAATTAATTCCCAAGTAATCAAATCACATTAAATAAAGTATTTTCGCGTACTTTATTGTTGGCATAAAGTATAGAGTACAATTACCCGAAATAACGTACAATACTTTATAATAAAGTACGGGTGGCAACCCTACATGTAGTCGTGAGTTTATGGCACATTAGTAAAGCACGAACCATTATCGAATTCGAATAGTTTGCGAGTGCGAAATGTCATTGTCAAATTTTGTATGGAAACTTCAACAGCAGCGCCGCAACGGACGTTACGAGAACTAAAATTTAGTACACATTTGACACGGACATCTCGCACTCGCAAACGTTACGAATTCGATATTGGTTCGTGCTAAGGGTACAGAAATCTTCGCAATGGTATTTGAGCAAAGTAGTAGGTACTTACCTATTCTCTCTTTCGTTGAGAAAATCTTTCGCCGATGGGTAACTGAATTAGCAATGGAACTGCAAACATATGCTTTAAAATTCTTAAGATATTTCATGCCGCCATTCTAAGATGCGTCATTTCGGCTAAGATTTGAGAGTCTGTTTTGTCGATTCTTTGCACGTTTGGAAAATGTATACTTAGGTACCGTAAGTACATTTATAAATCTTTTGAATAAATCTGTACATACTTATTTAAGCCACGAATATAAAATCTAAGGAATAACAATGCATCCAACGTCGCATCTGAAAGCATACTTCTTAATTTGTTGCACAAATAGGAAGAGGCGGAAAAAGCGCGTTCAGGCAATTAACAAAAAAAAAATCAGCATTTACACGACGTGCAGCGAAATTTTTACATACACATATTACACATAATCCGGTACCGGTCATTAGCAAAAATAAATGAAGTCAGCTGTGTAAATAAGATGGCAGTCAAATCGTCAAGTGAAAGTAAGTTTGACGACCTCCGTGGCCGAGTGGTTTGTACGCCGGGTTTCATGGGTTCGAATCTCGGTGGGGGCAGATGTTTGTGTGATGAATACGAGCATTTGTACTCTAGTCATGGATGTATGTATTGATATATGTATTATATGTACAATATGTATTCTATCCGTTACCCTAGTATCCCATAACACAAGCCTTACAGTGCTTACTTTGGGGCTAGGCTAATTGGTGTGAGTGTTGGAAATATTTATTTATTATAAGTGCGTTTAGTTCCACACTTATTTTATTGACTTATATAAAAAATATATCAATCCCGAATATCCCGGGATTCGTTTCATTTCATACCGAAAATTTCGGGACTAAAATATGGCCGAATCCTCTACTATAGATGCTTGCGATATAAAAAATATCACATGCTCCGTTGCCTACCCTGACCCAATCCCCTACCCCGTGGAACCCTGGAACCTTACTCACCGACAGAAACAAAACACTACGAAAAGGTAGTGTTAGTACAGAACTGATTTGGTTGAAATTCGGTACGCATATAGTTCATCACCTGTATTGATAAAAAGGATACCTTTTATCCCCGAAAAATGTTAAGTTTCTGTAGAACTCATAAAAAAACGCGGAAAAAATCACCAAAAAGCCATTCCTCGTCGACATCACTTTTGACATTTATTTGAGTCTAAGTGTCGCCGCACACGGGCCACCGACCACAACCACAAAACGCCGCCAACGGCATATTTCTTGTAGTTTTCATACATTTTATATGAACTCGCCACACACGGTACGCCGGTGGCCGCCACACGCTATAAATCGTCGTTGCTCGCTTCTTGTGGCCCTCACCGGCCACTTAATGCGCCGATACAAAACGCCGCCACACGTCACTCGCGCGATTCCCCACCCCTCTCTCCCTTACCTTAGTCGGCCGCTGTCGTGCACTTCAGCCACTTTAGTAGCCGCTTCTAGCTTCTCGTGGCGGCGTTTGTGGCTGTGGCGTGTGGCCTGTGTGCGGCAACACTTAGATTTTATTACGAAGCAAACGTGACAGATAACGAGCCCATCGCATACTGCTAATGTCCTTTGATAAACCATTTTTTAACGTGCTCTAAAAAGTTTGAAGTTAACGTAACGTATGTTTTTCTCTCGCTCCTAGTCCAGCATAGGACACTGTCTCCCTGAAATGTTTTATGCATCTCTCCGTCGTGGAAATGGAAGTACTATCAGATGCAGTGCAAACTTTTACAGAGCTCATTCTGATTCGCAATAACGCAAAGTTTGTTCCTCACTTTGTTGAAGTTTGAGTAGGTATGATTACACTCGTGTCTAGTTGAAAATATTGATATTTGTGAAGTTTCCTTTAACAGTGGTCTGAGGCAGTTTTTCCACCGCCGACAAGCGAGGCAACGACTAACTATCGGCTATTTTCTCGCTCAAGAAACCTACTATAGATATACATTACGTGTAGACAAGAGATAAGCTTATTATTATAATTGATCATTGACTGTTCACATTGCCGGCGAAAACTCGCCCCACTGGTGGCAACACTGTGCGACAAGAGCTATAAAATAATACTCGCTCAGCTACGCTGACTTGGCCGTTAAAATGCGTGTGCGTGCATTATTTCTCAAGACTGTCACCTTAAGCGAGTGGCGCGAGTAATCGA